GGTTACGAGACGGCCAACAAGCGCGATCATGGGCTTTTCCGGTCTCTCCCTCCCATCTGCCGTTGCCTGTCAGCTCGCGAGGCGGGTTAAGATGCGAGAAACTCTCCTTCAGTGAGGAGCAAATTACTGTGAATCATCGCAATCCTTCCAGGGAGAGATTTAGACTCCTAGTCATCTCCTACAGATCCCTGTCATCAGGATTCAGCATTACCACTTTGCTCGGAATCGAGGAAGCGTGATTGGAGTGACGGCTTGACCCGTCGATCCATCACCCATCATTGGCGAACTCGTTTGCTGGTGAAGAAGCTGGCTCTCGAGAAGAGCAGCCGGGAGGAGTTGTTTTGCACAAGGTCCTTATTCACTGGTTGCAAGGGCCGATGTTGAAGAGACGAGGTTCAAGCAGCGCGTTGGGCGCACGACGTTCTCATCGGCACACGTAATTTCTTAGTCAGACACCCGCTTTGGGAAACTCGCTTGGAACCTCAACTCTTCCATCGACGGCGACGTCTCCTCTCTTCAACCACAGCTGCTTTGTTCCGTCGAGCGTCAATATTCATTCTCTGCAGCTGCGTTGCTGTTAAGGTTCTTGCACGACGCTTCGCGCCACCGGACGCGGCTACTGGCTTGGTGGCGCCGTACCACAAAATATGCCCAAAGCCTTCACTCGCACCAGGGCGCCGAGAATTGAGGAGAAAGGCAGACTGGGCCGTGTTGAAGGAGACACTTGCATACATAAAACGATGTGCAGGTCGATGGCGCGCTTCCCCACCGTGACAGAAAAACGTCCGATTGGCTATCCCTGCAAACTTTTGCCTGGCGTTTCGAGTGATTCAACACACTTCTCAAGAGGAACGGACGCTGCGATTGACTCGATCCACCACGATGATTGGCCTATGGGCCGTACCTGAAATGATCGACGTGACATGATGGAGATCAGGGCAACTAACGAACAATGATCAACCCTGTTTCCACTCCGCAATTAAGATAAACATGCGAAGCCAGGGAATGTGATAACGAAACGGAGTACGGAGCCTGGAGAAGACCAAACAAAGCCTTCTCACGTCTCGAATTCACGCCCACCCCATCCCTTTGGCCATAACAAAACGAAAATGGATGGGGCTCCCTGCCGTAATCGGCACGCACTTCAGTGTCTGGCTTATTTTCGCGTTGAACCCCGGTCTTCTGCACAGGCCACGCTCTCTGCAGCCAGATACGACGTTTTCTGGGGCATTCTTCGTTTTACCCTCTCTTATATTATTATCATTATTATTATTATTTTATTGCATTATCATTCTTGTTATGATCAAAAAAAAACATGAAGGTACAGGATACACTCTCGAAAACCGCGATCATTCGCCCTGTTATTGCCTCCCCATGTTTCTCAAAGTGGAATGTCTTGCACTCAATAATATGAATGCCCACAATGCCGCTTTCGATGGGACAGTCGAAACGCACCGTTTCAGCTGCCGCGGAGGCGCCTCTTGCCCCATGAAACAACGAGCATCGGTATTTGTTTTGCAGCCTAGTTAAGGGTATGGAAGGCCATACTGTCTGTGGTCTGAGGTCCAGCACTGGCACTTGTTCCAGAATTTCGAAACTTCCCTAGGACTGGCCTCAAGTTTCTGCTCCTTCTCCAGCATTGAAACAAGTCATGACTCGCGCCTGGGATAATATTATATTAAGGTATTATCTACGAACGGAGATGATCATAACTCGGCTTGCACCAAAGTTTATGTAGCAACGCTCAAACCTTCAGGCCTCTCGTAACTCTGGCATCCCTGACCATATTGACGGTTACTACTCTACCGAGTACGACACTGCACCCGCCGTTTTCTATTTATCTTCAGCAAGATTCCCCTTCTCCGTTTTTTCTATAAGTGATTGTTTCTTCGATCTTCACACCTTTAGCTATTTGCTCACTCGAGTCTCTTCTAAACTTCGTTTATTTCTCCAGTTCTGGCGACGTATTTACCTTTTCTAGACCTCCCACCTTCCCGTCTCATTGTCCGGATACTGTCACCCGATCCGCCGATCATCAAGCTCAAGTCATTGGGTGATCTTCAACTCTGTTCAATAATCGGAGTCCAACTGCAAAGAATCGCAAAGACTACTCTTGAACGGGCTGATAGTGAACCTGTCACATCACACAGCCCGCATTGCACGACTTCTTTTCGACCCACCAGCGGTTCGTGATCTTTCAGCTTGGATGCTGTGACCTATACCCGCATTTCTTTGTCTCGAATTTCATTCCAAACGCTATCAAGCGCGGCCAGGTCCCCAGCAGCTCCATTGATCTAACTGGCTCGGATCATAACCGCTGCTTTGGGTCTTGCCACTCTCGGAACTTATATCAACGGCTGGCGGGACTGGCTTGAGCCAGTGGCCCAATTGCTTTCAACCAGAGAATAGCTCGTACTTCGAATGCTTGTTCGAGTTTGACTTGTCGATCGGCATGATTCAGTGATTTGCGTTCCCGAACCTGTTTAGCGACCCGGAATTTGAAGTACAGACACCTCGACCCTTTCGGCTTAATCGCTTTACCACTTCTATTTCGTTTCCTCTTTGTTCTAGAAATCCACCCAGCTACGACGACCCTAATGCAGTCCTTACGCCCAGTCGAACCGTTCCCCTTCACGGCCTTTCGACCAGTCTACGGATCTGGTTCTGACCCTTTGAGATTTTCATTGCATCGAACCGGGCCAGAAACATCTTGCGCGTACTCTTACCCCTCTCCTCCTATGTCAGGCTCTCCCTCTCCCGAGGACCGGTTCAACTCATGTGAGGGTGGAAAGCGCAAACGTTCGGATTCTCCCCTGCCGGGTACACTGCAACCTATATCGGAGCAGTCGATGACATACAGGGCTTACCAGCCTAAAGTCCAAGGCCCGGACAGCTCTACCGGTGAACTGCGACAGCCCGTGATAACCCAGCCCAGCGCCTCAATGATATCCCTCACTACGGCTCCTGAGCAACCCCATTTACTCCCTGCCCTAGGCGTGGCAGCATCGATTCCACCAAGGCCAACAACATTACCACCGAGATCCACACGCCGTGCAAAGGCACATGTTGCCTCTGCATGTGTAAATTGCAAGCGCAAGCATTTGGGCTGTGATTCTGCACGGCCTTGCCGAAGATGCGTGGTAGCAGGCAAAGAGGTGTGTACTTCAGCTAATTCTCAGCTTGTAACTTTCCGCTTGTCCTTTTAAGTCATATTAATTTATATTGTGTTGCTAATACTCTTCTTTTAGTCTTCGTGTGTTGACGTGGTCCACAAACGAAGGGGGCGACCTCCTTTGAAGGCAGAGGAGGGTCCAATACGAACTTACGAGTCAGCTTTCGGCCAGTCTGGTACATTGCGACTCACTACTCAACAGCCTCTTCATCCAAATGGAACTCCTGCCCATCAAACGGCATCCATAAGGAAGATTCGGCCAAATACAGAATTTCGAGGGGCTCCTCCCACTGAGGCTGGCAGAGAACCTCAGAGATTAAAACTTAGTCCTCCGATCCCCATGAAAAACCCGTCCTGGGGAGCTTCGATGCTGCCCTCTCCGTCGGCGACATTACCGCCATCGTCTCCGCTAAGCAGTGTACCTCCCCAACGACCTTTATCAAGCGGAAACCAGACATCATCAGACAGGCAAAGTTCAATTCCCAGCCCAAGCTTTCAACTACCTGGGCCGCCTTATGCTTTGAACGATATCTCGCATCTACCCTCTCTTTCTAGGGATAGGCTGCCGCCGCCTCGTTCGCCTCGTCAGTACAAACAAAGTACTTCTGCACCACCGTATTCTACGATTCCAGGCCCAACAACTCATCCAGTGAACTCAGCTATCCGATTGCCACCTATACCTCAGCCCCTCACCAAATTGAAGGTCGATTTCTCTATCGATACCTCACAGGCAGGTAGCAATACTTCATCGCCATTGTCAACGAGGCCAGAGATTATACGTGCCGAAAGCAACCCAATTTCGCCGCTGGCACAAGAGGATCCTGGTTTGATTGAGCGGAGATGGAGCCACGAACAATCTTTCGCATCGTCTTCCTACTCTCTGCCTCCTATCCGCGAATCAACAGAACCATTCCCACGGCAGCGTTGCTTTAGCACCTCAGCAATGATCAATTCAGGAAATAAAGATACTTTCAATTTCACAGCCTTGAACGAGGGCACGTCAAGGGAGGCTGATGTGCGTCCAGTGAAGCGCAGGAAGATGGAGCTAGGAGAGATGGTGAATGATTAGTTGATCACTCGTATTGGATTCCACGTTTGATGCATTTATATGTTTGAATTGTTATGAAAGCAGTCAGATACCCAAATTTTATTGCATTTATTATCCATTCACTGCCAAACAAATTGCGCGGACATGTTCTAGGTTCATATTTATAGTTTTAACATGGAGCGACACTTAGCCAGTACGAATCTGTATTGTGAACTCTGAAAAGATCTTGCTAGATATCAAGCTGAGTGGATACTACTATCTTTATTATAGGTATGTTTGGGGTGTATAGTTGAACATTCGACCCTAATTGCACAGCTTGAAATGACGGCAATGACTATAGCTTCGCCGGCGACAGAGTCTCGGTGCATTGCTATACCTATCGGTGGCGGGTTGCTGGGACCTTGGAAGTTCAGTGATTGCCAACATCATGGCTGGATTTAGGAGGTTTCTATAAAAATAGAGGATGGGACCAATCCACTCGCGTAGTTGAAACGCCATATTATGAACGAAAAAAAAAGGGCATAAAAATTGCAAAAATCATCACGGTCATCAGAAAAACAACCACTGCCCTACCATCTTCACTTTACTCTGCAACGGCAGCTCCCAGAAGGTCTTCTCGCCCTGTGGCCCATTCCATGTCCTCTCATCTTTCCAATCCTCTCCTCTCCTCGCCGCGGCAGTAGCTCCAGCACCCGTTCCGGGTCCGAAACGTCCGCCGTCCCACCGATCGGTGACCAGGTCCATCTCCATGAGACCTACCCACTTGGTCCTCTTGACCAACTTCCAGACCACATATAAGAGTCCCATAATGGGGATTTGGACATAGAGACTGACGAAATCCACGGGCTTGAAGCGTGGGGCGAAGCAGGACCAGCCTTGGACAAGAATGAGGACGCTGTTCAGGGAGATGGAGATGATGGGGCCGTAAGGATAGGTCCAGTTCTTGAAGGGAAGAAGGTGTGTTAGGCCTTGGGCATCGATGGCGCGGCGGAACCGAAGGGAGGCGACGCCAATGAAAAGCCAAGAGAGTTGGTTAGAGACGCCGACGATGCTGGGAAGAATGTTAGCTTGGCGTTCAGGGAAAGATCTGAAGTGATTCTTGCAGGGATTTCTTTTCTTTTCAACCTCTCCAGGCGGGGAAACGAAGAGGTGAGGATAAGAACGAGAAGAAACTTACTTCTGAAGCCAAGTCCATAGTTGACCTGCGCCAATGTAACTGGCGCCAAAACACAAGCCACTGATTGCGGATGTGACCAGTACGGCTATCCACGGGACCTTCTTCTTGGTCAAACGCCCAAGGAACGCAGGGGCGTGCCCGTCCACGGCAAGGGTGTACATCAATCTCGCGCCGGCGAACAGAGCATGATTGCCTGCTGAAATGACACTGGTCATAATTACTGCGTTCATAAAACTTCCTGCAACAGTACTTCCGGCAAGTTGGAAGACGATGGTGAAGGGACTGGTAGCAGCGCCTCTAGTGGTGAGATTGGGGAAATTGTATGGAACGTCGAGACCGATGATGAAGACCGCGAGGATGTAAAAGATCACAATACGCCAGAAGACGTTGCGGATGACACGGGGAAGATTGCGGGTTGGATTGCGAGTTTCTCCAGCGGTGATGGCAATGGATTCGGTTCCTCCGCTGAAAGTAAGGTTAGTATTGTCTGTTGCTGGAGTTTCTTGCAATCATGGAATCATACTATGCAAAAGAAGCGGTAACGAAGACAGAAGCAAAGCCGCCTATACCACCAACAAAGGGAGCGTCGCCAATACGCCAGTTTCTTGAACCGATGTACTCTTTCTCAGGATTTGCACCGCAGTTAACTGCAATACCCACGATGATGAAGATCTATCAGAGGGTTAGTATCAATGGAAATATTTGCAAAAGTGTTAGTGGACAAAACAACTCACAATAACAGAGGCGACTTTCAAAATACACAGCCAGTATTCCACCTATTATCGTAGGAATTAGTATGCTATCCATTGCCCGCTTGACTGAGAAATGGACTTCTGAATGCGTACCTCACCGTATGCCCTCACCGTAATGATATTCAGGGCAATCAGGATTACAAGGAAGATTAAACTGAACGCCCATGCAGGGAAATTTTCGTCCCAATAAGCCAGGAGGATTTGCAATGCAACCAAGTCAGCCGCTGTCGCAATAGCGTCGTTGAACCAGTAAATCCAGGTGAGTGCAAATCCGACCGAATCATCCACGAATCGTCTATCGGAGCATAATTAGCACACATCCAGAAAATGACTGTACTGCTTTGTCGTGGAAATTCCAAGCTCCTGGACCAGGGAGAGTCTCACCCTGCATAGGTGCAAAAAGAGCCGGCAATTGGCATAAACGAAGCCATTTCTCCTAGCGCCAACATGGTTGTAAACACAATTGCTCCCACGATCGAGTATGAAATAAGCATCGATGCCGGACCACCTGTAGCCAGCGATTTTCCTGTTCCCAAAAACAGACCCGTACCAATGGTGCCACCGATTGCGATCATTTGCACTTGACGCGCAGATAGTTTCCGAGCAAGCTTGTCGGCGAGAACGACTTGTTCACCCTCGATCTGTTGAATCTCCGGTGTGGAAGGGGACTTTTCCACATCTTGGCCTTTTTCATCGAAATGATAATGGGAGCCGATCCCATCGCGGTTGGACGCCATCTCGGCGGGAGTAGAAGTATATCAAGGGCTTTTAGGCCGTTAAGTATGTTTCTATTTTCTGGATTGATCCCGTTGAGAGCGAATCGAAAGCGACAAGGGGGTCGTCGCAGGATATATAGTAAAAGAGTGAGACAAAATGTCAATGGCGAATTTATATACGTTTCCGAAAATAAAATAAAAATATGCTGCTAGAGCCCGAATGCAATCATTCTGACCGTCGATGGCGTTGGAGAGCACTTCAGATAATAGCAACTGCCAGGATTCACAACAGAGCTGATCAAAGCGCACAGACGATTGATAACAACTACCCAAGTGACCTTGAAATCGAGCGTGTGATGGTCAATGGGAGCAAGCTCTTGCAAGGAAAAGACTTGAACAAGGAGCAGGAGGGCCAGCGATATTTATTCCGTGTATGAACCTGGTTCCCCTCCCACGTCTTGTCAAATCTCGTCGGCGTGTAGGGATTAGCTGACAGAGCTCGCTTGTAACCCAAGTGCCAGAATCAGCAAACCCTTGCTATAAGAAGCCGCTAGTATAGTCGAAAAGCGGGAGAAGATGAAGAGAATCTTGGGCCATGCTCACGATCAGAGTTGCTAACTAAATGCTCGACCGAGAGGTTTCTCGCCTCATTGCGTTTGTCATCTTTTCACGAAAAATTTCCATAGCCACGATCTCCATCTCTGTAGCGCCAAAGCTGCTCGTATGGAATTATATAATGCAATCCGCCACCGTGATTGCGGCATCGGGTCGGTGGATCCTGGACAGGTTCGGCCTTCACGAGAACCAGGATCCAGGGGACGAAAGACTGTTTAAACCTCCGAACAGAGCGTGATCGTTGAAACAAACTCTTGGTAGTTGGTCTAGGGTCGCAGAGCTAAACCATCTTTTCCCCTTGGCGTGTTCCCCAGATTTGCCGGCGCAAACAGCAATCCGTGCGCTGTACGTAATAGCAACCCGACGGCGAGGAATCGTCAGGGAGAGCTCACGGCTGGGGAGATGAAATTAATAATAGCCATCAATCCAGAATTCCTGGGGAAAAGTCAAAAGGGATCTCAAATGACAAATCGGCGCTCATCTGGAACTGTGTAGCTCAAACTGAGGTCCTGAGGCCAGAATCCATTACGTTTGCGCAGACTCTATTTCAAAATCCGAGGGAGAGGGTATGGAGTATCCAAGAGAGAATCAAAATACGCTACAAAAAGATTGGCTCTTCTACTCCAATAATCCAGTAGCAAGAGCTTCCAAGTCCTCAAGCGTTTCGACTTGCGCTGGGCTTTGGGCACGAGTCCGTTTCTGTTTCTTTGAACTCCCTTTCCTTCCGTCCTCCTCTCCCACATCGGAATCATTTTGGAACCATTTCCTCTGTTTTTTACTTGGTGGTGCTTGCTCTTCTTCAGCTTCCCTGTCCTCATCAGAGCCGTAATCTCTATCCTCTTCGCCCTCTTCATATGGCGCAAGTACAGCAACGGCGCCCGCTTCAGCTTCCTTCTCAGCACGCGCCCTTTCTCTCCGCTTCTCTTTCTTCTCTCTTTTCTTTTGTTTCGCAATCTCCTTGTCACGAATATCCGCAAGTCTTGTTCGTTCTGCTTCCAGTTCCAAGAATTTCGCACGCTGAGCATCGGCGCCACCTTTGGCCTTGAACTGCTCTTCGTCCTCCATCTCGTAGATTCATGCGCGTTACCC